CTTCTACTTCTTCTTCATCTGATTACTACTAGCATACTCGAGGGCATGCAGCGAGGGGGCGGCTCCCCCTCCCCACGCGCATGGCGCCAGTCCGGGTCTGCCCGGTGTGAAACTGTGAAACAGCAGAAGTGGGGAAGCGAAACTGCTTGGCAGAAGCGGGGACTCTTTCCCCGCTAAGCTAGGGGGTAGTGTTGACGTATTCTGTTTGCCCCTGCAAGGCTGGGCTGGGAAAAACATGCAGTCGCTATCTGGTGTCGAAATTAAGCTGGTGTTCGCCCCGAACTAGGAACCTGCCGCCATTCCAGTTGTCCATCTTTGCCTTCCCTAGATTTGCGGGTGCCAGCTTACGTGGCAGGTGTAGACAAACGGTAGTCAGTTTTGGGACCTCCGGTCCCGACACGTAGTTTCACGGCTGACTGTCACTGAAGTTGCCCCTCTCCCAATCCCCAAATCCCCCAACCCCACAGCTACGTGCACCACGGACCCACGATGGTGAGTAGAAAAAACTCACGAATCCGTGAAGCTTTTGGCTGTCCCTAGAACCCCACTCCTCGGCTGCACCCCGCTCCTCCCGCTGCTGCTGCCTGCGCAGGGCAAGGGATTGGAACTGGGAATGGCTTTGGGGCTCAGGCTTCAGGCTTGCAAGCCGGACGTGCGGCCTGAGGAAGTCAGGGCCTGTTTGGGTTTTCAAGTTGCAGCATTTCAAATGGGGGCAGGTGGCCAGGAGCATCATGCCCATAAGAGCTCAACTTCGACAGCATAGCGTTTCTAGAGCTGACTCTGGTTATTAACCAGAGTCAGCTCATTAAGTGATGGAATCCCGCGAAACCACAAAGACAGTCATCCTTGCCCAGCAGCGTTTGAAAGGGATCCAACTTCATCAGTTTCATGAGCTTTCGCTGGCGTGTTTTCGAAAACAATTGAACAAGTATGAGCACCTTGCCCACTTTGATCTGTGATTCAGCAAGGTCCTTCTTTTCTTGAGTATCACCTTAAGGTCTTCAAAGCGAAGAAGGGCTTTAACATCTTGACTCCGTCCAATGTTACCTGCATGCCAAGCCAGTGGCAATGTAATGGCGAAAACACCAGAGCATCGCACCATCTTTTTTGTTCATCGCTGAACGGTTCTCCGCTGAAGGGTTGGCTGCCAAGTCGCTGTTTCCGACCTGAGTTATGCAAATCATCATGAGTAAGGCTTTATGAAGCTCTCATCTCACGCAACACTGAAGCTTCATGGGGCTGGGGGCGCTCCACGCTACAAGGCTGTGATTTTTTCCACGGTGGTGGCCTTCCGAGGTCTTTGCCCCTGACATTTCGGTACTTCTTCATGCCGCCGCACATCACTGTGGAAGCGAAGACCCTAACCTCGAAAGCCAAGGAATCCTAACCACCTGATGGGTTTCTGCGCAAACAACTGTCAACGTGCGGCTTGATCAGCCGAGAAGATCGTAAGATCGGCCCAGCTCCTCCTGAGTTGATTCGGCAGGAAGGTTTGGGGCTCTTTCTGGTGGAGTTTTAGGAGCTTTGTCAAGGTTGCAATCTTTCAGGACATTAGGGCCTCATCTCGCTTAGCAGGGTCCTTTCCTGTAAGGCGCCCGTTAGTTGCAAGCCGAAAGGCAGCACTTGCACTGCTGCGGGTAGAGCTAACAGTGGCGACATGACTTGCTGCTGCGTGTCAACTTCTCCGCCCACGAGTCTGGCAAACACTGCCCATAGCCTGGGAGACCATGGGAAGGCTTGAGAGAAATGAACCCCCCCCCGCCCCATTCCCCCAACTGAATGACCAATTTAGATGGCCTTTTCAAGTTCGCTAAGTTAGATGTTTGGCTCTTCTTTGTCTGGACAGAGTTTGGGCTGGGTGCAACTTAGCTCCGGCGGTCCAGGGCTTTGCAGCAGCTGTGCCCGAAGGATTACGGCGATTCGGGCGGTTGGGGCTCTCAGGAGAGGCGAGGCTCTGAGAGTGGTCTCCGATAAACGGAACTCCTCTCACACATGCACAAGCCTGATGGTATCATAGCCCGATTAGTAAGGAATTCTAGTATCACTTAGAGCCCATTGAAATTGAACTGCTTCTGGACATTTACTTGCGGCACCATGATTTCGGAACTCAAGAAGGTCGAGGCCGTCTTAGAGTGCTTAAGGTCTTGGAACAATGGCTTCACCACAAGCCAAGACACGGCGTGGCACCAACGGATTGCGACTCATCCAGAACGAGGTCGCCTCAAAAATGTCTCAGCTCAGAGGCTCTTCCCCTCGGTGGGCCCCTTGCTTCTTTTGGTGCCTCTTGGTCTCGAACTTTGGGATTCTGTTCGTTCAAGGACTGTGTAATGGAAAACCATGCTCACAGAAAAGCAGGTTGTGGGCAAAGTTCACAAGAGAACTGCATTAAATGCAAGCTGGAGTGCGCAAAGTTGTGAGATAGAAAGCTTGCTAAGCAACCTGTATTGAGACAACCAGGTTTAAGTCATCCACTCAGTCTTCGAGTTCGTACAATGCCAACCCGCTTTTGTTGAGGTTTCTAGGAACCTCAGCGCAAACTAACAGTCCAACTTACCGTGACTGGACCCTCTCGAAGCCTCTCCAACACACTCTGACCCCAAGTGCCAAGTTTCGAGATGCGCTCATGGGAATCCACGTTCTATCCTTCCCAGCCATGCCAGCAGTTTAGTGTTTAGGGCATGCGTGGCGTTTAGATTGAAGGTCTAGGCTACATGCGCAACTTGTGCGGGAGCATCGTCTTCCAATTGCCTGTCGGCAAGATGTGTCTTGTTGAGTGAACGTTGTGTTCCGCCTTCTACCAGGCGGCCTCCCCCCAACCCCCCCCCCCCCCCCCCATTGGCAAATACAGTGCTGAGATGGAAAAAAGCAGTCGCACTGGTCCTCAATAAATGCTCATGCTACTCAAAGGATTAAGAACCCCCAGCCCATTTGCAAAAACAATGACCCCATTTGTGTAAACACAATGCTCGCATGATGGGTTTGGAAATGGATGGCAGGATAGGCACAAGATTGCATGGCTTGAAAGAGCGTGCGGGGGGGGGGAGGGGCCGCGTGCCCCCACACCCCTTCCCCCCCGCAGTTGCAAACACGCAGCTCAAATGGAGTATGGGCGTCTACTGATAGCATGCTAGTGTGAAGATTGCACGGCTTAGAAGAGCAAGGGGGCAAGGGGGTCCGGGGTCTGCACCGGTTGGACAGCAGACGGACCGACTGACTGACAGGCCGCCTGGCTGCGGGTTGGATAGGCGACAAATCGACTGACTGATGTTCCATGTATTGGCGAACCAACGTACCGACCGAGCGAAGCGGCCCTCAAACCAATAACAACAAACCCAAAACTATGAGGGAAAACATTGAAAAGCATGTCGAGGGGCTGAGTGGTTAGGATTGGTTAGGGACTTGTCCGCCGTGCCTGGACTTCCTTGGACAGCTCCCCAGAACCCCACTGAACTCGATTGGAGAAGAAGCGAAAGCCTCAGAAATGCCAGATTCAGAATTCTGTGGCTCTCTGTGGCTCCGCGCGCAGACATGCTCAGCTCCAACTGCTAAGGCGCAGAGTGGCTTTTGAATGTTCTTCCCAAAAGCGTTTGGGTCGCCCAGCGTCATTGCTTCGCAGTCATGGATGTGCAGATTGCGTTCCTTCATGCTGAGGCCCTTTCTTTCTCAAATTTGGACAAAGCCTAAACATACTGATCCTAAACTATTACATACCTTAAGGGCCGTGGACTGCCTAAAGTTTCCTAAAGCTCAAAAGCTTCAGATCCGGGCCTCTGATTTTCAAAGCTGGATGGGCGGTATTTGCGGGTCAGACTTGCTGTACGAGGTAGGCTTTGCACCACGGCCACGGCCCTTACAAATTTATGAGCACCTTCATTAGGAAGAAGAAATGCAACCAGTTTGGGTACGTGCCGAGGATGCTACGCAAGGAGGAGCCTGCGCCGCTCTGCAGCCAATCCCTCGCCTGCCCCAAGGGAGAGCAACTCAACGACTACAATGGCTGCACAGTTGTTGTTCTGCTTGAGTTTTTGTGTTGAACACTGAACTGGCCTGGCAGGAGGCAGGATGTATGTGCGCGTGTGCGCGTGTGCGCGTGTGCGCGTGTGCGCGTGATTGTGTGCGCGTGTGCGCGTGTGATTGTGTGCGCGCGTGTGCGCGTGTGATTGTGTGCGCGCGTGTGCGCGTGTGATTGTGTGCGCGCGTGTGCGCGTGTGATTGTGTGCGCGTGTGCGCGTGTGATTGTGTGCGCGTGTGCGCGTGTGATTGTGTGCGCGCGCGCGCGGGTGTGTGTGTGTGTGTGTGTTTTTGTTTGTTTTTGTTTGTTTGTTTGTTTGTTTGTTTATTTGTTTGTTTGTTTGTTTGGTGTTTTTTTTTTTTTTTGTGTGTGTGTGTGTGTTTGTTTTTGTTTGCTTGTTTGTTTGTTTGCTTGCTTGTTTGTTTTTGTTTGTTTGTTTGTTTGTTTGTTTGTTTTGTGAGCGTGCGTGCGTCTTCGTGCCGTTGATGGGGAACCAACTTGCAACGTCCCCGCTGCCGCAAGCCTCGAGCAGAATCCAAAACTAAAAGACACGACATCAAGAACACCAGAACCCTAATTACATTTGCTTAGTAGCTGCCTTCGCAATGCTGCCGCTGACAAACAGGCCGCTCTCACCGAGCGAGCGAGCACCTTCGGTTTTTAGTTCAGCCGGCGGGGGAGGTTTGAGTTTAGACCGCCTGACATAGTATTTAGAGTGTCTTGCATTCTTGGCACGCGAAGCACCGTTGACATTGTCGGACCAGGCAGATCAATGGCATTTACAGATAAATCTTACCTTTCTCATCTTGGCACATCACGGCGCAAGCGACGATCGCAATTCCTGCCAAGAGACCCTCATGCTGCTACTGGACGGCACAGGCCAGAAGCATTAGCATTCACAACAGATCACATGGCAGAAGTCGTAGGTGCTTGGGAGTTTAGAGGTTCAAGATGGTTCAAGTCCGACTCTCTGGATCTGCTGCGGTTCTTAAGGTGCATCGCTGGCACCTGGCACGTCTGCGTAGTCGTGCAGCACGGTCACTGGAGCTTCCTCGCCACAATACATCTTCGGTTTTGTCACGTCATTAGGCTTGTATTCCCTTGAGGGTTCTGCAAGCTCAGGCTGCATAGTCATAGCCAAGCCAGCACAGTGCCCTGGACCAAAAAAGAGCACTGCATCAGGCTCGTTTTTTGTAGACCTTGCTGCTGGTAGCCCCAAACCTGCAGCTCTGTATATAAGACCAGTCATCGAAACATTTCTTGGAACTCCCTGCCTTGAAGGCCATTGACAAAGATATACACAACTGCCCCAGAATCCGTACGTAAGCCTGCCGCAGATCGCAGAGTCCTGGGGGCCGCCCCAGTGCAGCGGGCGCGTCGCGAAGGCGGCGGCACCATCCCGCTGGACGTCACCCAGCAGAATGCCTCCGTGTCACTTCTCTGTGACATGGAGCGACGTGAGATTTTCAAGTCTCCTCGTCTTAGCCACGTTAGCCACGCTAGGCATTGATTGGGCCACTGTAGCTCGGTAAGATGACTGAGCCGACTGAGACGTGGCGCCTGTTCTGACTGTCAAGGCCACACCCTCTGCAGAGCCATCTTCACCAACCTCGACTGTCAAGCTCATGTAGGGCTTTAAGCTACGGCGAATTTCATTGTTGTTTACTTGGTGCTTCAGGGCTGAACATCTTTCCAATTCGGGACCCGGTTCTTTTACGCAAAAAAGCAGCAGACCCTCACTTGACTTCTGGCAAGCCACCTTAGTCACAAGAACGACGGGCATCCAGTTACCAGGTCTCCACCTCTGCAAGGAAAGGCCCACAAACGATCCAATACCACCACATGCTGCTCGTTTATAAATATGAAGCCTGCCAGTTGCCTGACTGCTGGGCAGTAGGCTAGTGCTTAATTTTACGGCTTGTTCAAGGCATTTTCAGCATGGTGCCTTTCTGTGGCGTGCTGCGACTTTTGATGAGATCATCTGTAGCAGGTTCTTGTCAAGCTTCTTTTTCAAGAAAGGTGTTGCCTCTTCTGGTGGTTTCTGTGCGTAAGCCGTGAGTACACGCAGCTGCAAGCCCGAATGGTTGACAACCTTCCTGTCTCGAGGACAACATGAAGTGCCTGTAACCGGAGCCCTAAGCCCTAAGCCCTAAGCCCTAAGCTAAACAGAACAAAGAGATCTTCTTAAGACATACGAACCCCAGATCTCGTCCGATGCGCTGCGAGAGGTCTGCGACGAGTTCAAGGCCACTAAGTCCAAGCCTTAGCTTCGGACAACACATCTGAAGCGGCTCAACGGCGAGAGTATGTACCTAGACAAAGAGCACATCATTCACATCATTCACATCATTCCGCTGGCTTGCAGCGCTGTCGGACGTAACCATTGCCACAAACCTTAACCTGGTCTCTAAACCTGTCCTCCTTGCATAACTTGACTCTAGCTACTTTCGATGGAAGTGAGAATGACTGGTCCAACGCCGCGGGTCCTCAACCTGACTCCTCAGAGCGGCCTTTCCGAACATCTTAAAACGGTTCTTGCTTATTCGGTGCTGGTGGCATGGCGGCGCCGCGAAGCAGCCAGTCTGTGGGCGCAGGCGGAATGCCTCGATGAGATGGTGATATCGAGTCTCATAAGACTTCAGGGGTGCAGTGTTGAAGGTGAGGGAGGGGGGGGGCGGGTGTGGGCAAGCGTGGAGACATGCGATACAAGCTTGGCCGTTGGAGGCGATTGCAAGCTCAAATGCAACCCCTTGCTGCAGCAAGACTTTAAACATGGTTCACGCTACACGACTTGCAGAGCTGAATTTGTGTGAGTCAAAAACACTAGCCAAACGACAATTCAGCGGTGCATTCCCGTTGTTGACAACAGCTAACGACAGAGTTCAGTCTGCAGCCATGTGACGTTGAAGAAGCAAACGTGATCAAAGCACAGCCGGCATGTGCGCTTTCATAGCAATCGGGACACAGAATGTACACCGAAGCATGTCCTAACCCTGGAAGTTGACAATCGTCAAGGCGGCAGAAGCAGCTCAATCCATGACACAAAGGACAAGAGCCTGTCAAAAACCCTGACGCTCTAACATGACTAAACCCTGAACCAAAATTACTAAAGTCTCGAAAGCCCCGAAGCCACTGAGCACAGTGGGCCTGCAAAACCTGCACCAGCACGTGATGCCGCCGCTGCAAAGCGCCGCGGATCTGCGAGGAGCACGGATCCGGGCCCCACGGAGCCTTGAGAGGGCCGTTATGGGTGCTGTGTATGATGTGCTTTCGTGGGATTTGATGGCTCTGTACGGCTTCGTGGAGTCTTAAAGGGTGCGTTGTCGGCTTTGGATTGTTGGGCATTGGCTTATAGCAATGGGGAGCTTGCCCGGTCTTCAGGAGAGCGGGGCCGTATGAAGCAGCGCAGAAAATACTCAATAAAGATGGGCACCTTATAGCTCACATGTCGATCCTCCCTTTCTCCCTTCTCCCTGTCTGGGCCTGGCTCAAGCACCTCCGCCACTTTCTCGCGCGCGTCACTGGCGCCCTGCAGCTGCCAGGCAGAGTCGAGGAGCCTCACGTGGATGTCTAGCGAGGGCAACTGAGTTCACTCGGTTTTGCGGATTGAGAAAGATGAGAAGTATATAGGGCTTTGAGAAGCCTGGGCGTGTTGAACGGAAGCTTGGGTCCGTCCTGCCGAGGTGCGCGTGCTGTTCCTTCATGATTCGCCCTGCCTTAAAGTAGCCGCTTGAAATCCGCCCTGCCATCCAGAAATTTACTACTGGAGACTTCGGTCCATGTTCTTGAGTGAACTACCAAACAAGCCCTGCCCAAGTCACAGGGAGAACCAACCAAAACATGTCCGGACAGTTGTCCGTCCAAGGCGCATAAGAAGGACCCACAAACCCGACCGTTTCATGTCTCTTTAGATGCAAGCAGGTGGTGGAATGGAGATGGGGAATTAAATCAGCACTACGTGCGTTGCAAGTGTGTGTGTCTGTGGCTGGCTTGAGTAGCTTGGGTGACGTGGACGGCATGGGTGGTGTGAATGGGCACAGGGGCTGGAGCAATGGGACAAGCTTTCGTGTTTTGCGACTGGGGCCGAGGTGGAGCCTGACTCCGAGACACTTTTCCAGAATCGACCGTCACTCAAGCTGAACGTTAAGCTAAGAAAGCTGAATCTGCATCGGAGATATCAGGCGCTCCAGGGCTGACAGTGCAGACCTTGTCAGTACGGATAAATATCATTGACATGCGACGTGAGACTTCGAGTGCACTTAATTCCTTACCTACGGTAGGCCTTGAACTCAGCCGAGATGCAAGGGTCTACAAGCCCCTACAAGCACTTTACGTTTCTAGGTTTAGGGCGAGATGGCGAGTCAACCCCACAATCCCCAGAACTCCCAGATCCTCCGAAACATAGAAACTCTGGAAGCGCTCCGAAGAAACTCCACGTTCTAGTAGCTCGGAATAGCCCTCAGATCAGTTCTGAGCCTGATGCTCTGGTCCAAGATCCAGTTGAACTGTTGATATCAAAAAGCCTGTGGTTTAGAACAACCGGAGCTGGGATGTGTGGTATCTCGGATTCAACTTCGGATGTGTTCGCTTTCGCTTTCACTCCAAGCGGCTTCCGAGCATCACTTGTGGCGACCGACTCGCCGGTGCTCTCTGATTCTCCCGATCTGCCTCTCTTCACGAGCACAGGCTGCATGCTGTAGGACTCAAGTCTTTAAAGTCTTGAAGGTCTTGTAGTTCAGGAGAAGTTTACCGCTTGGCACGTACAGGGCATTTGGCGAGCATTGCGCAAAGCCAGCAGTGTTTGGCTTGGCAGCAGCTTTGGTGAGTTTGATGTGGCGTGGGCTATATGAGTCGGATATGCTCTAACCGCGAAGAAGCCGTCCTACTGCCTGCTTTGCCTGGTTGCAAAGCGCTTGGTCATTCCTGACGTTGTGAAGATTGCTATCTGTGACCAAAGAGCGCTTTTGCGGACTAAACCCTCCTGAAGCCTCGCCTCAAAAAGGGGCCGAGCTGCGTGGCAGGGCGCTCGAGCGCGCCGCGCCGGTGCGGGGTGTGAGGAAGACCGCCGGGAAGGCAAATGCTAAGCAAAGGCCGCACCTCGGCTTCAGCCCTTATACGTCCTGTACCCTTCAAATGGTTTGCCCTACCAGGTTCTTGCTGATCAAGGTTGATGGATGAGGTTTGCGTGTATCGCCCGGTTTCGAGGGCTGCACATGGGTTGTGCCTGTATTTTCCAAACCCCACAAGCCCGGAAACCGGTGATGAAACAATTGATGTCGAGCGGATCGTCGCAACCGTGCATCAAGCCTAAACTTCAAACCCCAATGCCAAACCCGAAACTCCAACCCAAAACTGCAAGACCTGAAAGCCCCCAAAGCCCTAGACCCTCAAAACCATGCATCGTGAAGCTCCAAACCTCTCGCCTGCAAAGCCCAGGCACACAGACAGTGGCCGCTTGGCTTGCGTTGACGCCCATGCTCGCGGCATCAGGCACGGGATAAAGGGATCTCAATAGAAAGTCCTCTTAATCGTCTGTTTTGACCTGGGGCCCTAAACCCTAAAGACTAGAAACTCCCCAGGCCCTCCAAGGTATCTGCCTGGGTTTTACATGCCTGCGATGGACTGCGTTGCTGCGGGTGACTTCCGCTGAGCAGTTTGGCGTGGTTGGCGTGGGTGGCGCGGTTGGCGCGTCATGATTGCATGCCTGCCTGCAGTCTCCTTGGGAGGGTGGCTCTGATGCCCAAACATGATGCTCAGATGCAACTCCTAAATCCCGCTGCTAAGTAGCCCTCAGGACCAGTTTACTTGAGGACCAATTGCACCAACAAAAATCTAGCCGAAGACATTGGAGGCAATCAGGACTCCCACTGTGCAAGTTGGAGAGCTCCAAAGCAAACAACTAACACTCGGGAAAGGCTAGCTAGCTGATGCGACTCATGTCAATCCTAAATCCTAAACATCCTACACCTCTGCCACTTTGCAGTGCGCTGCCTCTGCCGGTCCGCTGCTTCGGCCAGCCGCCGCCGCTCCTGGCGATTTCAGCGCCGGGGCATCAAGTGTTCAGCTTGTAAGTTCACTGGGCTTTTTGGTCTCAGCAATTCAGATGCGAAGGGCTTCGGGATATTGGGTTTGGGGTCCTTGTCTGCTTGCATTTCTATGCTTTGAGGTATCGGGGCCATGCCTGGGGAGTAAGTGCTCAGCGGTCTCAGCATGCGGTTTTTATGGCTCTCGGGTTTGGGGTGCTTGGAGCGAGGCGTTGTTTGGCTTTGGGCTTCCAATTTTTTAGGGCGCTTCTAGTCTCTTGAGCCTGAAGGCTTGTAGAAATCCTCGGTGTCCCTCAGCCTCTTGCTTACCGACTTGGAAGTGAGGGTTTCCAAAGTCCTTGCCCAGCCAGTTCGGGTCCGAGTCCACTCAGCGTGGCTCAGTGTACACGGTTGGGGCGCCTTTCTGAGGGCCGCCCTCTCCACGTCGAACTCGGCGTGCAACGCGGTGCGTTCGGCTTCAACCTGCGCTGTTTCCGCATTCAGAAATTGGGGCGAAGCAGCCGGCACACAATCTAGTGTACCTGGAGCGGCTTGCTTGCGTGCGTACGTGTGTGTGTATATATATATATCTGTATCTGAATCAACAGGCAAATAAAGAAACATATAAGTAACATATAAATACAAACATATATACATATCGAAGAAAATTTGCACCCCTGCCTGCTAAATCTATGCCGGCAGTGATGCTACGGCAGCACAAAAGCCCGGAGGGGTGAGTATATTGACGGTTCAGGGGTTTCGGGGGACGAAATGAGGCGAGGACAAGCATTGCCGCATCTTCTTAGGGTTTAAGGAATGGGTATAGGGCCCAGGGCTCGTACAAGGCTACAGCAAACTACCCGGAAGTTGGTCGCAGCCAACATCATTCTGCCAGGGCATCGGCCGTCGCTTCTTCTTGTGGCAGTGGCAGAAAGTCACGGCAGCCAAAGCGTTTTTTGTCCACTCAAGTCTGCATGTCAGCATCTATCAGAAATAGCCAAATGTTTCAACACTGAGCACTCCTTGACAAAGACTTTGAACAAGTTCATGCATTCCAGTCGGAAGCCAGCAATTCTTTCGGCTTCACTGCCCAGGCTTATGCATTGCCGTCTACAGCCTGGTGGAGGCATTCAGGAGCAGAAGGTCTGAGATGCAGGGAAGCTCCCAGGCGTCCTTCCCACACCGCGTCCGCGGCTAAGCCCGAAAAGAAAGTGGCGACAAAGACGAGGCATCCTCGGATCGCCGAGAGGAGCAGGGAGAAGAACTGAGACTGCCGCGTCTTCATGATGTCGATGGCTGCGATTTTCCTGCTGATGGTCTGGTCCCACACGTCTGCATTCTCCTTGATGATGTTAACAGCATCTTTAATTTGCTGGATGAGGCCCTGCGGAGGATGCATCTGCCAGATCCTGGAAGAGGAGACCGACGGCCATGTATGGTCGCAGGGCCTCATCTTTCCAAAGGGTTCGGAAGACGCCCGCTCGCCTGCCAAGGAGCGCTTCAGCTTGTATAGGCATTCAAAGTTGTCCACATGTCGTCCCAGCTGCTTTTGTTCACCGTCTCTTTGCAACTTTTCAATGTAGGCGGAGAGTCTTTCAAGCTCCTTCGCCATCTCTGCAAGCGAAGAGCTCACCAGAGACCAGAGGAGTAGCCGGTGGCCGCTTTAAACTTCGAGTCTCCCAGCCTAGGGTTTGGGATTTGGGGTTTGGGGTTTGGGGTTTTGGGTTTTTGGGTTTTTGGGTTTTTGGGGTTTTGGGGTTTTGGGGTTTTGGGGTTTTGGGGTTTTGGGGTTTTGGGGTTTTGGGGTTTTGGGGTTTTGGGGTTTTGGGCTTTTGGGCTTTTGGGCTTTTGGGCTTTTGGGCTTTTGCTTTGGGCTTTGGGGCTTGGGGCTTTGGGGCTTGGGGGCTTTGGGGTTTGGGCTTTGGGCTTTGGGGCTTGGGGCTTTGGGGCTTTGGGGTTTGGGGCTTCGGGACTCTCAATAAGAATCGTGGGAAACGAGCGCGCCAATCTCTATCCGGTGCTACAGTGCATGATAGTGCATGGGATACCCAAAAAGTTGAACAGCAAACAGCGAACTACCAACACATTGAGCTAAAGCTACAAAATCCTGAAATCCACCGAACTTCGTGAAAGCCTATGCTCTCAAGAGAACCATGATCAAGAACATCGAACCCTCAAGCCCAAAAAACCTACACTCCAAACCCTAAACTTTGGCGCTCTAAACCATGGGATCTGTCCTGGTGGCTGGATCAGCAAGCGCTCCGCGCCCAGCACCTTCTTCAAGACCCCGAGCAGGGCAGAGGCCAGCACAACCAAAGAGGCGGAGAGGGTCTCCAGCTGCGCGCTGTACTGCGCTGCTTGGGCCCGAATCTTCGCCTCCACTTTCTGGGCCGCCGTGGCGGTCATCTCCTCACCCTTCAGCAGGAGGGCATCTCAGGCAGTATCCTGGCACACGGATGTGCAGGAGCCCAATAAGGGCACTGCTGCTCGTTCTCCTCCGCTTCGATCCGAACTTCGGAATCGCCAGGCTCCTTTGCCTCGTCCTTCTCCCTGACCTCCCCATCCTCCTCCTCGGAGTCCCTCTCTCTGCTCTTCGGCACCCATGCAAAAAACCTTCTTGAGCAGTATCCGAAAGATGAAGGCCTGCTTGAAGTTCGCGGCCTTGCGAAGGAACCGGGGCTCTTCCAGCAGATCGCACTTGACCTTCCGAAGGTTTAGGGTTTAGGGTTTAGGGTTTAGGGTTTAGGGTTTAGGGTTTAGGGTTTAGGGCATCAGATCACGGCTGGGGCCCACGCTTTTGAAGAGCTTTCCATATTGGGCGGACGCAGGGGCCACAATGTAGAACAACCTCTAAAAAGGGCCGTTCTTAAGTGTCCCTGTAGGGTCTTAGCAATCATCACTGAACCTTGTCCACGTTCAGACGCTGCGTTGCCCAGCGAACGTCTTTCAGGTTCGCACCAGATAGGTCCTTGGTTTCCAAGGAACCTAACAATCCGCGAAATGAGAAGGCTACAGACCCCTTTCAAAACAGCACCCCCTTTGGAAGTAGAGAGGCCGGGGAGAGCTTCTCCCTAAACCGGAAACCGCGAAAACCGTAAAACCGCAAACTTAAAACTCCAAACACACAGGCAGAAGATTGCCGCTTTTCAAGACGCCTTCAGCCAAGGCTCGGCCTGTTGCTCATCCACCCCGGGCAGCTCTGCACCCGAGAGGTTGGCAAACCGAAGCTTGGCGCCCTTCAGGTTCGCCCCCAGGAGCTGGGCATTGGCAAGATCCGCCCTTCCTGGCTTCGGGGAAGCGGGCTTGGGTAGGGTTTAAGGTTGAGGGTGTAGGGTGTAGGGTAGAGGGTGTAGGGCTTCTTCGGGCTTCGGGAATTAGGCTTGATGGGTCAAAACCATCCCTTCTTTGCAGGGTACCCTTGAAAAGCAGGAATAAGCTAGACCCAAGAGCGTACCAGCATCGAGAACAAAGCAACTTCCGGCAGCAGGTTCACAAAGACAACATCTATAACAACTCAGTTTGGGGCGTAGGATTTAGGGTGCAAAGAGCCGTAGCTGGTGTCCTGCAGTCGAGCTCCCCGTAGGTCGGCAAATATGAGCTCAGCCCCTTCCAGCCGAGCTTTCCAGAAATCCGCTTGCTGCAAGCGAGCACCGTTCATAAATGCCAGGCGCAGCGATGCACCAGAGCCTAGGGTAGAAGGGCAGAACTCCCCATAGCCGGTTTCTAGGGTCCCCCTACAAACCTGAACCGTCTGCCCTCAACTCGAAGCCATGGCCTTACAAGAAGCCCGACGGACCCTAAACCCCAAGCCCTAAACCCCTAAACCCTAGTTTAGTTGGAGAATAAGGCGGCTCGAGGGCTCCAGGTCGTGGGAGTTTGCTTTTGCGCGTTCGGTTTGTTTTGGCTAGGGGCTTTGGCTTTTGGGGGTTCAGGTTGGGATTCAGGGGAAAGGGTTCGGGGTTTAAAGAAGGTCCAAGGATTCAGTGTCCTAACAAGAATCTAAACGCGCTCAGCCCTGGATTAGTTTCTGCGCAGCCCCTATGAGACAATAATTCGCTTGGAACCCACCCCCCCAAAAAAACTCCACCGGCTGGCCGGGGAAAGCCATTTTGCGGGACCTCAACAATGTTTTCCCCCCACGGGCTGCTCAGGCAAGGAGGCAGACATGGAAGAAAGCATGCGTTTCGAGCAACCCACACATTTCGCACGCTTGCCTTGCGCACCGAGCCATCAGAACCGCCGAACAGAGCCGAACCGGATCGGGACCGACCTTAAGTAAGGTTCCGTTTGGGAACCAAGCCGCGGAACCTTCAGGAGCTCTTCTAAAAGCCCGCAAGAACTTGTGAAGGCTTGGTGACTGCAAGCCCTCAGAAAAAGTAATCCCTCTCATCCCTAGTTGCTGGATTCAGCGAGTCTTGGGCTTAGGGAGTGCATAGGGTTTGGGGGTAGGGTGAAACCTATTCTGGTTTTGAGGTTTCCGACACCCGGGCCCCGTAGGGTTTCTGAAATGCAAAGCCCGAAACCCTAAACAAAGCCCTGAACCCTTGAACCGCAAAACTCCCTAGATTAAAGCTCCTCAACTGCCCCTGAACCCCTGAAACCCTAAACCCTCAACCCTACTTGAACAACAAGAAACCTCCGAGGCCAAGGTTCCGGACACTGGGCTGCCTCGACTTGGTTCCAAAGCTGGTCGCGGCCCCTCGCCTTGACGGGCTCCTGCTCCCAATGATTCCAGAAAACTCCCGAGCGCTAGGGGTTCCTACACCTTCTAGGGGTTCGGGCCCTAGAATTTGGCATGAGGGGGTCCTGGTCGGTTTCGTGCAGTTTCCGGACAAGCTCCAAAAGAGACCCAGCGGCCCGCGCCAAGCCCTACAGCATCAGCCTGCGGCCATCGGAGCTCGGCTTCAGGGACGGCATCGAAGTGGACCAGGAGCCTCTCCAGTAGAGGTGAAGGAACTGCACCCAGCGTGGGTTGCCCAGATATTTGTCTTGGCAGAGTCATCAAGATCCAAGCACGGGGCAATCCATGGAATAAGGTTGGAGCTGAAAACATCATATGGTAAGCCGTCGCCGTTGTTGCTGCTGTACTGGCAGCAAAGATAAGAACTTCGAGTGTAGCTCGCGCGGTTGTTCTCGAGTGGAGAAGCAACCGAGTCCAGCCAAGTCTGCGTTGGCCTGGTCCCGGAATATCAGTCCGATTGCTCTCGCCAGGCGTCTTCGTTGACCAGATTCGTCTTGGACTTCACACGCGCACACAAACAAATCCAAAGCAGGCCAGCATCCTGCTGCTTCCCGGCCCAGTCCCTTACACGCAACGGGTTTTGGGGGATGGCTTTGAAAGGTTGGAGGCTTGGTAGCTAAAAAGTAATCAAGCCAACTCATCTCTGAATTTTGGCTAGCTTCGTCCAAGCCACGCCATCCTGTACCAGACGAGGGGCTGCCACGCTCCTCTATTCGGCGCAGCCCTGGGCTTCGTCTTCGCCCTGGGAGGAGCAGCAGCAACCTTGGATAGCTGTTTATTTTTTCGCGAGACCTTCAATCTTTTCAGATAACAATGTAGATGCAGAAAAAAAGTTCTCAATGAGAGCAAGAATCCTTTGCCCCAACGGCTGGCCATTGAGCCAGTCTTCCATGTTCTTGCCTCGTGCGGTGTCTCCGTCGCCCGTTAAAGCTTGAAGGGTAAAGAGTCAAACCATGGGGGATGGCCGGCGGCTTCCAACTCACACCTACACGCACACAGATAGATAGATAGATATATATATATATATACACATACATATATACATACACATATACCTTTGCATATTGTATACATATACATATTTACATATACATACACATGCACACATACATATGCATATACATCTACCTTTACATATGCATATGCATATGCATACACATATACACATACTTATACGTGTACATATTCTTAAACAAATACAGATATATCTGTATCCATATATATATATATGGTCGCCGGTCTTTTGTTAGTACGTACATTACATCGTTTTGCCTTGCTTTTTTGCACTTCTCGTGCTTGTTTGCATTGTTGCGCTTGTTTTCGCTTCTTTGCACTTTTGCACTTTTTGGTTTTTTGCACATTTGCACTTTTGTGTTCTTTTTTATGCTTGTCCCATGCATAGAAAATCCAAAAATCATAAATCCCAAAACCAAACATCCAAACTTGCTCGGACAATGTCTCCGGCAAGTTTGGGTTTTTGGGTTTTTGGATTTTTGGATTGTGATGATTTTGCACATTCGAGGTTAGCCCATATGCATGCGCCTTTTTTTGACGAAGTATCAGGGCGGCCATTCAAAGGTACCCTTGTCAGAATTTCAATTCCGTCCTAGCTACTCGAAACGTGACTCAAAATCCTAAGTAGCCTGCTCAAAGATCCAACAAGATGTTGAAATATCCTGCTCAAAAAGCGAATAGAGGCGTTCAAGAAAGCAATAGGGCTTAGTTTCAGTATACGGCTATTGAACTACTTGGAATGCTGTCAAAAAAACAAAAAAACACTCGTTATCGCAGAGTAAGGGCGTTCATGAGATATAACCTTTCCTAAACAGTAGGTACTATCCCAGAATGGTTCTTATTTCGAACAAATGGATATTCAGCCTCTTTCAAATGCACAAAATTAAATGCAAATATAGGCGTTCTCTGTTAAAGCCTCCTTAGCCCAGGCCTGTGCATAACACATGTGCGTGTTTTTCTCAACGATTTGAATAAGTAAGACTTTACCTGGTCTTCATATACAGAAACAGTATATTCAAAATCTTGGTGAAAATGCTACTTAGTATCCTGTGAATTTCGTATTCACGTTTCGGGTAGTTAGGACGTCATTGGAACTCTGATAGGGGTACATTTGAGTGGTTGCCCTCTTATATGCATGAGATACTTACAGGGGCTCCATATGCAAGATTGTAAAGTAAAAGTTCAACCGAGCCTCATAGCATGAAATGCGCACCCTGGAAATAAATGGACACTTCACCTCACTAGGGGAAGTCCCTGACCCTCGAGTGGACAGTTCACTATCCCTATATTGGGCCCAAACCCTACTACTGTCTTGAATTCTTCTGTTCAACCTCTTGTTGGCTTTTTGAATAAGATATTTCAAAAGCTGAGTGGCTCTTTGAGCAGGCTAGTTAGGATTTTAATCATACAGTTTCCAATCGAGAAGTTAAGACGTTAAGAAGATTCGAGCAGGGTTTGCTGTAATAGTCACAGGTGGGCATTGACATATTAAGAGCTTGAATTAAACGATCAGAAAATTAAAAAAACTCGTTATCACAAAGTAAAGGTGTTCATGAGATGTAACCTTTCCTAAACAGTAGGTACTAGGATCCCAGAATGGTTCGTTTTGAAAAAAAACGGATTCAGCTTCTTTCAAATGCGCAAAATGAGAGATTGGCAAATATAGGCGTTCTCTGTTAAGGACTCCTTAACAAAGGCCTGTGCATAACCCATGTACGTGCTTTTCAGTGATTTGAATGAGCAAGACTTTGCATGGTCCTCATATACAGAAAAAGCATATTCAAAATCTTGTTGAAAATGCTATTTAGTATCCTATGAATGTAGTGTTCACGTTTGGAGTAGCTAGGACGGAATTGAAATTCTGACAAGGGTACCTTTGAATGGCCGCCCTGATAAACCGTCAAAAAAGGAGCATGAATGTGGGCTAACCTCGAATGTGGAAGATCATCAATCCAAAATCCGGACGTCCGGTCATCCAAACATCCAAAAATTCCAAAATCCCAAAATCCAAAAATCCAACTTTCCGGAGACATTGTCCGAGCAAGTTTGGAGTTTGGGGTTTTCTATGCGTAAGACAGGCATAGAAAACCACACAGTGTATGAAAAGAATGCAAAAAACAACCAAAAAAAGTGCAAACGTGCAAAAGGCCAAAAAAGCCCAAAAGTCAAACAAGTGCAAAAGTGCAAAAGTGCAAAGAAGCTAACAAAGTGCAAAGAAGCTAAAAAAGTGCAAAAGCGCAAAAGGGCCAGAAAAGTGCAAAAGTGCACAAAAAACACAAAACAGCGCAAGAAATAAGGCAAAATGCACAAACAAAAACACAAAGCACAACAAAACAGCTAGCTTTTCCTGTCTTTTTCATGTCGCGGTTGGTCCATTTAGGGAGGGTGAGCTACATACATATATATATATATATATATATTTGTTTATTTATTTATATTAATTTATTTACATTTAATGTTGCACCTATTGCATTGCAGAAGAGCGTCCTTCATTCATCACATCATCTGGTTTTCTGTGACGCAAGCACGTCACACCGCTCTCTTCCAGAAACACAACCCGCTCGATGAAGAGGTGCTCGCGCTGCTCCCAGCTTTGCACAACCTCCGCCCATTCTGGGAGATCCACAGATAGCTCCTGCTTCAGCTGCACCCGGCAAAACCTGCCATGAGTCCTTTGTCTCTTCTTCCCGGTATCAAAAATTATAATTGGACTTGAGCTCTCGTGTGGTTAGGCTTTCGCAGGTCACGGCAAGTAAAAGTGTGCTTATTGTCGTTTTCACAGTCACAGAGCTGATTGCTTCTCCATCAACAAACCGTTAGTACATAAACCATTCTTGAAACAGTCCCCGAGGCTCTTCATGTTTGCGGATCCTCTTTTCCAGGCTGGTCCTCCACAAGGAGAGGCCGGGACTTCGCTGGTGGCTTCCCGGTTTCTTGACGTCCTCCGCTGCCTTTTGCGGCTCCTTTCAAAAGAGTTCGCGGAGGGGAAGGGCAGGGAAGGGCTGAGGGGAAGGGCCGAGGGGAAGGGTGAGATGGGCAAGGTCAAAGTTCCACCGCAACTACGCCGCTGTAACCTTGCAGGAACGCCTCGAGACTCCAACCCCTACACCCTAACCCCTACAACTCTTTGCACCCCTTAACCCCAACACCCTAAACCAGTACAGAGCACCTCGGCCTTTGCCAGGGCGGTGCCCTTGGAGTCCAGGCTTTTCGGGGAGCCCAGGCAAGGCATGGCTACAAACATGCTTCAGGGATCAAAGGATTCTTGTCCAAAAGGTACCTTTCGGGATCCATGGTTTAGGAGTTTAGGGTTTACAGATTTGTGGGGCAAGGAATTAAGATCGACAAGCTGAAGGTCTGGGGCTTTGAGGCACTGAGTTAAGGTTTCAGGTGTTCGTTCACGGTCCCAGAGCTTAAGTCGTAGGGTTGTTTCAACGGTTTGGGTTCCTTTCATGAACTGATGATTCGGCACCGCTGTCCCATTTATTTTCAGGTTCCTTGAACTAACGAAGCAACACGCGCATTGAGCCATCTCCTGCATCGAAGCACATGCTTGCATGAATGGATGCACGGGTCCCCAATGTCTGGCAACAAAATGGCACCCCTGGACACCCCCCCCACACCGCCGGCTGGTGCCGCCAATGGCAACAACCAGCGGCTACTCTGGTTGGTTTGCCCAACACACCCGACCCTGCCAATTTGCCTGCATCGTCAGTGCCCGTATTGCCCGAATGTAGACTAGACGACATACCTAAACTGCACCTCCTGTTCGAAAGATACCTCCTGCGATAATCCTTTCGTCGTCTGTCGGATTGCTTAGCCCTTGAAGAGCCCCGGACATGGACCTGAGGATCAGATTGCTCAACAAAACGGCTCCAATCGAGTACCAGAAGGGGAGAGGACAAAGAAGAGGACAACTAGCAAGTGCACCAGCGCCAACACCAAATCGGTGCCCCAACAACTCACAGCAAAGAGGTCCCGACTCAAACGCCGCCCTGGTCATGGAAAGGAGAAGCCACTAAATAGGAGAGACCCTTGCCTCCAAGGCTTGCAAAGCAAGTTCGCCTGATCTCGCGGTGACTCTGCTAAAACAGACATCCAAAGCCCCGACAACTCACAACGGAGAGGGGACCCGAGCTAAAAACACTAAGTTGCCACAAGCCGTCTAGAAAAAGCTCTGGTGAATCTCCCGAAGGTGCAATACGAAGAACCGGAAAGGCTACAAAGAGCAAAGCAATCACACAACCCCACTGCAACTCATCACTGCAAAGCTGAAGCAAGCAAGAATCACTTGGCAGCACAAACTAAAAGGTTAAAAGAGTTCAGACCTTCAAAACCCGGGCGTGGCCACACTCTGCAGAAGAGCGCGCAATCTCCTAACGAACTAAGCTATTTCAAGCCTGCAAAGGCACTACTTTGACTTTGCATGAATCAATATACGACTGCTACCGCAAATATTTTTGATTGCGGGTATTGTGAGTGATAGTCATAGTAATCGTAGTATCCTCCCGGTAAGCGGTGCTTCTTTAAGCCTTTTGGTCTCTGTCTCTGTCTCTCTGCGCGTGTGATCCCCCCAAGAGGGTTGCAGTGTAAGGCAGCAAACAGAAGCTGAAAGCTGCCTTTTCGTTGAGCTGGAAGTCGCGAGTATGCAAAAGCATGCAGCAGCCAATCCCCTAGACTTGTAAACTGTCCCAATCTTAAATGAAACTGAACGAAGCCCCGACATCTCTCTGGTGATCTCTGGCTGCTTCTGTTGTTTCAAGTGCTGTGCCTGTAGTTTTCCTCTTGCATTCGGTTTGTGTTCGGCTGCCTCCTTCCAGAGCTTCTCGCGCTCGCGGGTGATGTCCCGCTCCGCGGCCTTTGCCTGCGCCTCTCCGTTGGGGCAACTTGGGGGTCTTTAGCTTTCGTGGTTGAGGACTTTGGCAGACATGGTCAAGTCCGAAATCCTAAACTCTACGGGCCGAAGCGCTTGAAGGTGCGGTGCACGTGGGGGCTTGCGCATGGGGAACTCTGAGCTCCACCCCAGGGCGAACTGAAACTCAAACACGCAAACATCTCAAATCCCGAAGCACTATCCAAGCCTTTAGTCACTGATTTCGAAAGCAGCTGTGCGCCTGCAGCTTCTTCAAAGTCTCGTTCTCCTTCTCGTACTTCTTCAGCTCTTCATCCAACGCCTCAACTATGGGGCTTTGGGAACTGAGCCTCTAAGCTGAAGGCTTCGGAATCATTGAAGAGGGGAGCGATTCGGGAATGCAACTTTTTGCATCTGCGCATGTGTAAACATTGTGCGCAATATGCGTCGGAGACATCATTTTTTGCCTGGCGGCCTGATGAACGAAAAGCACCAGCGAATGAATGAATAAAAAAACATTGCACATCTGGTTTTGTGCGTGAACCCATGACTTTATTTGCAAATCCACACAGATAATGAAGTGCACATGTTATGAGCCACCGCGAGAACGCCATAAATAGAGAATGAAACTTCCACCACAAGCCGTGAACGGTTGTGCAAACGCCAATGCGAAAGATATGCGAAATGTTGATGGTTGGTGCACATGAACTAATTGTCTAAGTCTAAAGGACATGCGCTGGCAGCATTTCAATCATTAGAAATCAAAGAAGCGTATTTAACTATAAGGGCGATAAAGTATGTTGTACAATTTTTCTCGTTCTTTGCACTTCGTTTGTTTGTTTTACATCGGGCCTCCTATTAAAAGAAGGAAATAGGGTTTGTTATTACACAACGCAGGAAATAGAAGTGATCCTTGCAAAATAAAGACGAAATATAGGTTTGCCTAAGAACAGAAGAAACAGAGGTTTTCTTACTCAAGTACACAGAGTTTTTCCTTACTACTAAAAAACAGTGGGAACCCTCACGCAAATTTTCGCGTGGTTGCGATGTCAAGACACAGTCATGTGGGGTTGTCCGATCCTTGGGGTGTCTTTGGGTTTCTCATTCTTTCTCTCTCTCTCTCTCTCTCTCTCGCGCTGTCGCTTTGTGATTAAAGCCGTGGGGACGCCACAGCTGAAAGCCCTAGAATGCATCACATCAATCTGGAAACAACAGAAACCCGAAAGACCCTACGCCGCAAACGGCCATAAACTTCCCTAGATGCTGGCATCAACATTTCCGCCCAAGGCGCGGTTAGCCGGGCACGGGCCTCTTCAGCCAAAGCAGCCTGATTGGCTTCATTGAAGGGTCACAAGCGGTATTATTTTTCCGTCCAAATTGGGCGTGTTTATGACATATGAGACTCTGAGCTACGGCACTTGCTTAAATCCCGAATCCCTAAAAGCCCAACAACTTTCTTTGATTTGCTGCATGGTGTCTGCTCGGCTCAGGACTGTGTGTGGTTCAGGGTTCAGCGACTGGGATTTCATGTCGTACTACTGCCGGCACAGAGCACTGGACAATCCTGAAGAACTCCAGACACTCGGTAAACACCGTTGGAACGCTACATGAATACAGCTTCTGTCCTGTTTCCCCAGTGTTGTTGCGACGCAGACGCAAAAAGCTCTTGATGGTGCGTGAGAAGCGAAAGCCCAAAGCCCTGAAGCCCTGAAGCCCTGAAGCCAAGGTTGGCTTGTTTGTATTTGTTTTCCGTCTCGGTGCAACTTCACACCAACTGCCAAACTTAATTCGCTATCCTAAATCCTGCGAGCTTTTGGGGACTGCACAAAAGATGAAAGCGCGAAGACAGGAAACAAAACAGTGAAAGCAAATGGTTGCTGTTGACTTGTTACGTGCTTATTGATTCGCTTTGCTAAATACTCTATGAAGAGCGTACCCCCCCACCCACCCCAACCCCCCTTTTTTGTGCCCCAATGAATAACAATAAACATGTATACATATCTCCAAAAAATTACGTATGTATGAATTTATTTACATACAGAGACGACCAGAAGCTTCCTTGATTGGCACCTGCTCCGCCGAGGAGGGGGGCGGCTCAGACGACTTCGAAGGCCTCCGCCCTGGTGTCAACACCGGGGTTTCTGGAGAGGGTACTGGGTACATGGTTCGTGATGTGCGTGGATGGTGTTCTGTTCAAAATATTGTTTTGTGTGGGAACAGGCATGCGCTGGGATCCACAGATTTCCACATGTCTCCGAAGCAACCAAGCACTGCTGCAAATGCAGCCTTGAACCCTGAGAGTTCGGGCCCGCAATGTCGTGAAGATTCATTATCTAGCTCTGAGCCTTGCACAATTTCTGTGACCCGGAATTTAGGCTCTGAGCAACTCAAAGCAACTCTTTAACCCTGGCAAGTCAGGTCCGGAACTCTGAAAATCAGCTGCCTGAAGCCCTACGACTAGGAGAGGCGCAGCCCAAACTCGAAACCCGACTCGAAACCCTAAAATGCTGAACATGTTCGTTGGGGGTGGCAGCGCCTGGAACTAGTGGAGAAATCAAAAGCCTAAACCCTAAACCCAAGAATCTCGCAATGGCGTGAGCCCTCCAGTTAATTTCTGCGTGATTCTCCAGGGGGCGCTGTGGGGGCAGGAACCCCAAAGATATGTACGCTGCAGAATTCTCTGGTCCGGGAGTCTTCTTGGGACTCTCAGGAGGTGCGAACGCTCCGGGCATAGTCTTCTTAATTCTCCGTGGTGTTTTTTGCAAAGATGCTCTTCGGGATTTTCTGAAGGCATACTTTGCAGGCACTCCAGGGAGGAGACCCAGGCCCTGGCCAGGTGGCCCACTGCAAGCTAATAATGTTGGCACCCTTCAGCCATCTTCAGCCGGCCAGCGACCCCGATAATGAAATGTGACGAGCCCTGGACCGGCAAGTCCGAGGCCACTGCTATCACGCTTGGGGAACGGAGGCAGCACGCTGACTGACAACACGCACAAGGGTTGTTTGCTGGAGGCACCTGCCCCCGCGGGTGATGCGCGATCAGATTTGTGAGCGTTTTGGGCTTTCCCGCCCCCCTTCTTTCCAGCCTCCCTCGCTGGCCCTGCGCCGCGAAGCTGCCACCGCGCTGGTCAGGCTGCCATCACCTGGCGTCGAAGGTCCCATGTCTACTGAAGCCTCCAACTCCATCAACCCCCGAGCACGCTCATTCAGGCCTCGGTCCCATGTTCCTACGATCCAACTGAGAACTCGTCTGGGGCAGCTCTGCTTCAAGCATTCAGGCCTGTTGGGTTTGGGTTTCAGGGTTCAGGATTTTTGGGTGCTGGCAGGCATGCACGGAAACCCCAAAACCCTTCCGATGCAACTTTTCCACTCATGTCTCCCAGAACTAGTCCATGATTTCCGACAGTCCCAACTTCCATGCGTTGGGTGAGTTGAGTGTGCCGCCTGAATCACATCCCAGAATACTCCAGACATAGCCCTGTGAACGGGAGGTCCAAACTCCGGCCTGAAGGTGCTGCACGACCGTAAAGCGTGGAGAAAGCATCGGCGCCTTCCCAGTGCGCACTCCTGGTGGTTGCAGCCGATACAGTACCCTCAAACCAAAGCCTTCGAACCAACAAATGAAAGCAGCAGCCTCTCATCTCTAGGACTCTGGTTTTGGCAGATTGAAGTGGTGGGGCTGCAACATGATGTCATATGCGCAGCTCCCAAAACAAGAACTGTGGAATGTTCCGGCGCCAACAAAAAATCAAGTAGGTGACACCTCCTTGCAATTGCAACTCCTAAGCCCCTGAAACCACGAATCCAAGAGTCTCCAGACCAAATTGTATGGAATTGGCAAAGTTCATTCCCAGCGACCAAAAACTCCACGAATAATCCAATTTCGTGCGCACCTCTTAAGAACATGTCCAGGCAAGACTGACAATGTTGAACCCTCAATTGAAGCCCGACTTTCTGCCGTTCTTGCCCAACCCCCCTGCCCCCCCGCCACCCCAGTCCGCGGTGGCGAGGTGCGCCGCGGCGCGGAGCTGGGAGCTGACGGAGCGGGGGAGTGGAAGTAGGACCTGCCGCACTTTGGCTCAGGGCGGTTGCAAGATGTTGTGTGCATGTGGGCCGGGGCATTTTGGATGGCTTCATTTGTGGAAGGCTTTGGGAGTATGATTTTTTCGGGTTTGCTGGAAAGGTCTGTGATTTTTGGGCATTTCAGAGCTGTGGGTCTAGTTGAGGCGAGGGCGACAAGACCTTCTCAACTAGCTTTGCCGTGTTATTGGTTGAGTTTTGTCATCTGTGCACTCTTGTCGATGCAAAATCACAGCCATCCAGCTCTTGCTGAAGGATTTCGAGCTTCGGGCTTCAAGAGCCATCAGGCGATGGGGCTTTGGGCGCGACACGCTGGATTTCACCTCCTAGCCTGCATTTTGGTCTTCATAGAAAGTCCCCCGTTCCCATGCTCCCAACCCTAAAACCAAACCCCGCCAGCCACTGTTTGCGAATTAGGGGGCGCCCCTAATCTTGAAGGCTTTACTGGGTGCAGAAGTAAGTACACCTCGGTCTCTGTATTGTTGATGTTCATGCCGATTTCCGGGACGGGTGCCGTTCGGAGTGCATCTTCTTGCCACAGAGAAGTCGGCGCCTCACAACATCTGAGGTTGGCGGCTCGCCCTCGATCTCGTCAACGCCGAGGTCGTCCTGATGGGAACTCCAGGGCCCAAAGATGCCCAAATAGTCCAGTAGACCACCGATTCCATACAATAGTCTTGGAACCCTGGCAGCCCCACGTGCATCCTAGCACCCCAAACCTCCCCTACATAATCCGCTCAAGGCCGCAAGACCTCTGGGCCCAATACTCACTTCTGAGAACTGGCCAGGTTGAGAGGGCATTCTCTTCCAACGTCTTCCAACAAAAGTCTCTTGCTCTATGGCGCACGTTCCTCGAAGTCCAGATCCAGCGCAACGTCCCGGCAGTCCCAGGGTACGATGTCGGCCCAGTCCTGTAAGGTTTCGCGAGTTTCTATGGCTGCAGAGAGGGGCAGGGTTTCAGGGGGAAACATTTCAGGGTGCGAGGGGGGGGGGGAAAGAGTGGCAAGTGTCTAGGAGTCAGAAATTCCCAGAGTGACGGCTAGAGCCTGTTTGGAATACTCTGCAGCAGGTTAGAGGTATTGCAGGGCTTAATCTGCAGGAGTTTGGCGCCTCTTTGTTCGATCTAAGCACCTTCGGGCCCTCTGCAGGACTTGCAGTGTTTACGTAACACGCTTGTGTGAATTTGCTTCTGACCCAAGAGCCCAAAGCCTTAAACTGTTGTTTCTGTACGGCTCTGAACAAAACTGAGAGGGCATCAGGGTATTGAAGTAGCCTCAAGGCCCAGATGTAGTGCTGTTGTGTGCTGTTGGGGAGTGAGAGATGTGCATTGATGCGGAAGTTGCGCCGTTTAGAGTCGTTTGGAGTCTTTTAGGGCCTCAATCAAGGTGTCAATTGCCGATCGGGTTTGGGGAGGAGAGGGGGAGGCTTCGGCCGTGTAGTTTATGTAAAGAGACTACAAGAGAAAGACGACAAACAAGTCGAGGAAGGCGATCACCATTTTTAGATTTTTGGGCTTCAGCACATTAGTACATCCGTGCCATTCCCTGGAGGAGGTTTCGGAAAGGATGTCTGACCTCACCCTGCTTCCACGATCAGGGTACATTTTCCATTTCCAGAAGCGAGGGTGAAGGGATGCGCTTTAGAGAGCTTCCCCTGTCGAAAGGCATGTCCTCGTCTTCGTCTCGGCTCGGCGCAACTGCATGGCCAGGGTCATGAGGTCTATAGGGCTTACACGAGCATGATAACCTGCACTGAACTTCTGACCAACAAGGGCTTTTACTACTATTCCCCAACTGTCTCAGTTTTGTTTGGGTGCTGCATTTTTGCAGAGCTTATGACAGAAGTAAGTCTTTTTAGGCTCCACGTGCAGCTAGGCAGGCCTCGTATCCCAATGGCAACCCGAAAGAAAAGCTTCTGCCCCGTAGCTTCACAGGTCGCTGCCCAACAGCCCTCCGAAGTCCGAAGCTGTAAGCCTAAGTTCTCTACTGTCCAAGCTCAAGGTCAGAGACTACAGCAAGCTCAAACCCGCTTCTGGCACGGCACTCGCCTGGAGCACCGGCACGTTTCGAGGCATCTCCGTCTGCAGGTGCGAGTTCTCGTGTCGGAGCCTCTTTATTGCTAGGGCGTTTAGAGCTTTGAGTTTTGTCGATCAGAGGCTCGTTTTCTTCGTGTTTTTTGGTCTCGGTTCCAAGCCAAAACTTTCAACATCTGTCGGATGGCATCCCAAAATCCCGCCAACGCTTCATGCTTTCTTTCCCCATCCACCGCACAAGAGGTCTGACCCAGCAAAATCATGCTTAAGCGGCTTAAACCTCGCAAGTACATTCTGTTTGGCATTCCGGGCTGATGCGTGCGCACTGTCTGTAGACCCTCAACGGCGTGAAGCTGTTAGCCTTAGAAACTGTACAAGATGAAGACTCCGGCGTTGCAAACTCGGCGCCTCCACGACTGAGAAGCTCGGTGCACGCCTTGCAGCCGGACCTTCTCTTTGAACGGCTTGTGGCTTTTAGTTTTTCCGCTGCCTTAAACATTGTTACAGCCTTCAACAGGAAGCCCCGAAATCCCGACAAGATCAACATCAACGTGTGTTTCAGGCAGCACCGGGGATATCAGTGGTCTGAAGGGATCTTCGGCTCCAGCAATACCAAGGGTGTTGTTGCAAGCTTCGGTCTCTGGGCTGGAAAAGGCCTTAATCAAAGCGTTCCACATGAACATCCAAACCCCAAGCTCCAAACTGCAAAGCCCGAAGTTGCCACCCCCAGGTCTGAATAATCAGCACAACCACCTCAGCAGCAGCAGCAGCAGCAGCAGCAGCAGCAGCAGCAGCAGCAGCAGACAGACAAAAAAAAACAAATGCCATCTTCTGTTCATCCCCCGACCTGGCTCATGAGATGTCATCTCCAAAGCCGAGCCCCACCTCCAGGTGAACTGGCAGGGGTTGGTGGTCAAGCGCCAGGGATGCTTAGGGGTTTGGAGGAAAGGCTTGTTGGGACTTGTTAATCCGCTTCGTTTTGGATGGAGTCCTTTGTCGAAGCTATACCTAATGCATGTTTGGGAAAAACTATTGTCGCTCGAGTTCCACATCTAAATGCATTTTCAAGCGAGAAGGGAATCGCATGGAACGGATGAAGCACCGTGCAAACACCCTTGTCTTTTCCGTGGTACTTTGAACATGTCTCTCGCGAATCCGTGCTTCTCCTTGGAACATTTAAATAGTGCCACAAAGATGTGAAGCGTTGGGTGCCCAAGGTCAACAAGGTAGCGGCTTGACAGTCGATAGTTAGCATTGGCTTGGAGATCGGTGGCTGCGCATGGTGGGAAATATTGCATATATATATATAAATATATATAAATATAAATATATAAATATATAAATATATAAATATATAAATATATAAATATATAAATATATAAATATATAAATATATAAATATATAAATATATAAATATATAAATATATAAATATATAAATATATAAATATATAAATATATAAATATATAAATATATAAATGGTCACCCACCCCCCCATGATCCACACCTATGGTTTTCCGGTCTTCGTCTTTGTCTGATTTTCTGTTTTTTCCTCGGAAAAATGTAGTAAAACTGCACTGGAATACAAAAAGCTCTTTTACATTATCCCCTATAAAAACACTAGTGTTTTCATGTACATTTTGCTTCTGAAATGTGTGTCTTGTGGCTCCAGAAAGTTTTAGAAGTGCAGCCATTTAGAATTTTAAGGCTTGTGAGGGTTCAGGAGTTTTATTTTCAAAATTTAGATGATCTGCGGAAGGCACCGGGGCTTCCCCAACCATTTCAAATTTTAAGAATCCTTAATATCCTTAGTTTTTTTGAACGGGCAGCCCTTTTAAGATTTTAAGGGCTTTAAGGTATTTACAGCCATTCAAAATTTGCAGGATTTAAAAGGCTTTAAAGCCCTTAAAAAAACCTGAAAGCGTTTTATCCCTTAAAATTCTAGAATACCTTAACATTGTAAAAGGGCAGCCGTTCAAAATTAAGGAAGTTACCTGATTTTAGAAGTGAACATCAAATCCTTAAACTTTGAAAGGACAGCCATTTACAACTGCAAGAATTAAGGGTTTGTAAAAGTTTACATGGTCTGGGGAAGTCTGGGGAAGGCATCGGGGCTTCTCCAGACCATTGACAACTTTAAAAATCCTTAATTTCCTAAACGGGCAGCCACTAAAATGTTTAAGCATTTTAAGGTTTTTCAAAGGCTTTAAAACCTTGAAAATCCTGAGAATGTTTAAACAGAATTTTAAGGATTTTTTATAAGATTTTAAGGGTTTTAAAAGTTCAGATGGTCTGGGGAAGCCCCGGGGCTCCCCAGACCATTAAAATTTCATTTTTTTTTGCAAAAAATGGTATGGGGAGGCCCCGGTGCCTTCCCCGGATCATTCAAATATGTAAAAAACACTTGAAACCCTTAACCCTAAAAACCAAACCCGAAACCCTTGACACTAAACCCTAACCACTCAGCACCAGACCCTAAACACTAACCCTACAAAGCTTAACACTAAGCCCTTAGCACAAACCCTAAACACTTAACACCAAACCAACACCACACCCTAAAAACTAAACCCTAAACATTACACACTAAACCCTACACACTAAACCCTGAACACTAAACCCTAGACCCTAAACATAAGGATTTTTAAAGTTGTCAATGGTCTGGGGAAGCCCCGGTGCCTTCCCCAGATCATTTAAAATTTGTAAAAATCCTTAGAACCCTTAACCCTAAAAACCAAGCCCGAAACGCTTAACACTAAACCCTGAACACTCAGCACTAGACCCTAAACACTAACCCTTAAAAACTTAACACTAAGCCCTTAGCACAAACCCCAAATACTTAACACGAAACCCTAAACGCTTAAGCATAAACCCTAAACACTACACCCTAAAAACTAAACCCCAAACATTACACACTACACCCTACACACTAAACCCTGAACACTAAACCCTAAATGGCGAACATGGGCCCGGACTCCAGACTCCAGATTGCCAGAAAAATCTGGAGTACCCGGGCCCCGGACTCCAGACTCCAGATTTCCAGAAGAAATCTGGAGTACCCGGGCCCGGACTCCAGACTCCAGATATCCAGAAAAAATCTGGAGTACCTGGGGGCCCCAGACTCCAGACTCCTTCTGGAAATCTGGGGCCCCGGACTCCAGACTCCAGATTTCCAGAAAAAATCTGGAGTACCCGGGGGCCCCAGACTCCAGACTCCAGATTTCCAGAAAAAATCTGGAGTACCGGGGCCCCGGACTCCAGACTCCAGATTTCCAGAAAAAATCTGGAGTACCCGGGGCCCCAGACTCCAGACTCCAGATTTCCAGAAAAAATCTGGAGTACCCGCGGCCCCAGACTCCAGATTACAGACTCCAGAATCTGGAGTCCAGGGTCCCGGCACTCCAGATTTTTTCTTGAAATCTGGAGTCTGGAGTCTGGTGCTACTCCAGATTTTTTCTGGAAATCTGGAGTCTGGAGTCTGGAGGTGCTCCAGATTTTTCTGGAAATCTGGAGTCTGGAGTCGTACTCCAGATTTTTTCTGGAAATCTGGAGTCTGGAGTCTGGGGGTACTTCTGGAAATCTGGAGTCTGGAGTCCCCCACCCTCCCAAAACCAGGTTTCCGAGGCCAAATGTGTGGATCATGGGGGGGGGGGGCGAGCATAAAAATATATATAGTCACCCCCCCCTACGACAGACCCCGGAATTGTATTTCCAGTCTGTCCAGGAAGGGGGGGGACCAACACTCCAAAATTCCTCGAGTTTCCAAAAAATCCAAAAATCCGGATTTTTGGAAACTCGAGCGGGAGCCTCAAAATCCAAAAACCCTAAATTCCTCGGGTTTCCAAAAATCCAAAATTCCAAAAAATCCAACCCAAGTTTCGGATTTTTGGAAACTCGAGCGGGAGCCTCAAAATCCAAGAATCGAGCTCCCGCTCGAGTTTCCAAAATTCCAAAAACCCAAAAAACCCACCCCAAGGTTTGGATTTTTGGAAACTCGAGCGGGAGCCTCAAAATCCAAAAATCCAAAATTCCTCGAGTTTCCAAAAATCCAAAAATCCAAAATCCCAACCCAAGTTTCGGATTTTTGGAAACTCGAGGAATTTTGGACTTTTGGATTTTGAGGCTCCCGCTCGAGTTTCCAAAATCCAAACCTTGGGGTGGGTTTTTTGGGTTTTTGGAATTTTGGAAGCTCGAGCGGGAGCTCGATTTTTCGATTTTGAGGCTCCCGCTCGAGTTTCCAAAAATCCGAAACTTGGGTTGGAGTTGTTGGATTTTTGGAATTTCGGAAACGCTAGCAGGAGCTCGAATTTTGGATTTTGAGGCTCCCGCTCGAGTTTCCAAAAATCCAATCCTTGGGGTGTGCATTTTGGATTTTTGGAAATTTGGAAGTGAGATTTTTTCAGGGGTTCTACACGGTTTAGGGTTTAGGGTTTAGTGTTTGGGGTTTAGGGTTGAGGGTTTAGGGATTTTACTCAGATTCCTTCTCATGTAACAGGACTTCTATGAATGATAACCGGTTCTTTTCAATTCGTTAAGGGTTCCTATTCATTTTAATAGGCTTCCTATTTACTTTTATCGGTTCCGAGATTTTTTGATAGCATTCCTACGAATTCAATGATTCCTATCAATTTTAGGGTTCTTATTCATGTTAATGGCATTCGTATTAATGTCAATAGAGGTCTCATTCGTTTGAAAGGAATTCGTTTGAAAGGAATTCCTATTGGTTTAGGCTCATAGTCATTTAGCAGGGTTCCTGAAATTGATCTGAATCTTCTTGCATTACAAAATAATTAGGAACCATATGAAACTTTATTGGAATCCTATGAAAATAAGTAGGAACCTTTCGGAATCCTACCGAAATTTATCGGATAAGCTAATAGGAAGCCTATTAAAATGAATAGGAACCCTTAACAAATCAAAAGAACGTGGTGAAGATTAATAGGAACTAATAGGACTCCTATGAAAAATGAGATTCGCAACAACAAGAATTAATAGAGCTCTTACTCATGTCCATTGGATTCGTGTTAATTTTAATAGGGATCTCATTCATTGAAAGGGATTCCTATTGGTTTAGGCTCATATTAATTTTAGTAGGATTCCTAGTAGGGTCCTCTTCAGTTTATTAGGATTCTTATCAATTATAAGAAGGTTCTCATTGATTTTAATCGGGTTTCTATGGATTTAAGTAGAGGATTCCTATTTGTGTTCGTAAGATTCCAATAAATTTTCATAGTTTGCCTATTTTTGATACGGCTCCTACAAATGTAATATGATTCCTATCAACTTTAAATACGGTTCTGTCATTTGAATAGGGTTTCCGTTGAATTTAATGGTATTAAGGCTTCTCATTCATTTTAAAGGGTTTCCCCTTCATTTAATAAGCTTCCTATTAAAACAAAATGAATCCTATGCACCCCACTGTGTGCAGCTATGCTGTCCGTCGCGCCCTCAGCCTTTTTTTCGCTTCCGGGGTCTGTCGAAGGGGGGGGGGGTGAGCATATATATATGTGGTTTCAGCGTCGAGCGTCCGGGCCCCCCCCCCCCCCCCCCCATGGTATCCCCCCCCCCCCCCCCAAGCCTACTCTACGGTCCCTAAACCCTAAACCCTAAACCCTAAACCCCTAAACCGTAAACCTAAACCCTAAACCCTAAACCTAAAACCTAAAACCCTAACCTTAAGTCTTAAAAACCTTAAACCCTAAACCCTAAAACCCTGAACCCTAAACCCTAACCCTAAAACCAACCCCCAACCACACCACAGGGGGGGGGGGGGCTCCTCTTAGTACCCCATCCGCGGGGAAAACCCTAAACCCTAAACCCCTAAACCCTAAAACCCTAACCCTAAACCCTAAAACCTAAAACCCTAAAACCCTAAACCCTAAACCCTAAAACCCTAAAACCAACCCCCAACCCACCACAGGGGGGGGGGGTACATTGGGGGGGGGGTAGGGGGGGGGGGGGGTAGGGGGGGGGGGGTGGGGGGGAGGGGGGGGGGCCCGCCGGGGCTGAATCAATATATATATATATATAATATCGTAACCCCCCCCCCCTCCCCCAAAGATCCACCTATTTTGGCTGTACAAGATAGGACATTATACAAAAAATAGAATATTCACGTAACCCGGAACCATCTGCTTAACATTTATTAGGATTTTAAGGGGCAAACACATGACGATAAA